AAACCCAGAAGAGATCAAGTCACAAATAAAATGACAAATTTAGCAACAAATAATGCAAATAAACAAACAGGTAATATACACATATTCCAAACCACCAGAAAAACATTCTTCATTAAGGAAAAATTTGACCTCTACTGCACTAAATGGCAAAACACAAGCACAAAAGATAAACACTATTTAAGAAAGAAAAAATAAAAGAAAAAGCCTCTAATTAAATCCAATATCTCATGTTTAATTTACAAAACAGACATGGAGTATGGATGGGGAAAGAAAGTATGCAAAAAAACATTTGCTCTGATAATTTGCAAAAACATTAATATCCTGTGGCCTTCTTAAATTACACTTTGCCATGGACTGCTACATTAATAGATTTATCAAAGTTAAACTGACTTGGAAGGGTTAATGCATTTCTAGGGACTTTTCTCATATTTCCAGAGACATGGCTATGTTCTCTTGGTAATAACACACACCATAAGTGGATGCATGTAGTGAAAAATTTAAGGGGGTCTGAATACTTTCCGTACCCACTGTACATGCAAAACAAAACCTGCAAATTTGTCTTTGGTCTGAGAATGGAAGTATAGACTCTAGAAGAGATCAACTAATCCTGTTGAGTACCACCGTTTACTGCTGCCGCTGCATGCCATATTTACCCTGTCACATATCCGGATCAGTGCATTTACATGAAGCTGCTAGACTTTATGATCACTGCAGATTTATCCAGCATACTCTGTGGTGATCATGCATTCATTCTGATGATCTCGTTTTGTTGTCTAAGCACATCTACATTTTGGCTGATTAGTACAATGGCGGTACAAACAGACAAACTCCTCCACACTGTGAGAGGATATCAATAAGAGATAGACAAGGAATTCTGGAAGCGGTCAAAGACCCAGTTCATAACATGCATCACTGACTACAGACAGAACAAAAATGTAACAAGACGAGGATAAATAAGCAATAAATAAAAGAACACGTATAGCCTATGATGTGTTTGTTTATATTTGAAAATATTTTAAGAGTACATTTAAAAAAAAAAAAAAAAAGTCTGAGATGTCCTCTTGATGGATTAAAATAAAATGGTTTGCAGTGACACAAAAGTAGAAAGATGAAAAGAGATATCTTTACAGTTTTAAGCAAATAGTATACAAGTATGCATGCATGCAGCTTACAACCTTAAACCATATACCCAAATATCTTGCTGTGCTGCTTCTATATACGCAGCAACCAGAAGCTTCTGAGTTGTTTTGGTAACACTGTTCTGTCATGTAAGGAGGTATAATGTTGTCATCAGTGGCGTGCACAGACCTTAGTAGGGCGGAAGGACAAAAGGGATACTGAAAAGATGCTATAGAACTAATTTTGTAGTGTGTATTGTGCTTTTTAATCAAAAACATCCTACCCTATGAGAATTCTCACCTACAAATAACTGTTAACATAGTAATATCATGTTATTAATATCATGGTACTCTTTGAAACACATTTGGATTAACATGTAAATACCATGGTATATGAATGTGGTAATTGCATGGCACCATACAGGTTGTTGTACTGAATGATTACCATATTAATATGAAATATTCAAACACACTTCAAAGAATGCTGTTATAGAGCTTTAAAAAATGGCTTATTGGTTACGGTTAATGTTTGGTTGAATTAGACAACTCTTCTGTTTTTTATGATATGAATTGTAGAAAGCGACCACTCTTATTTTATCACTCTTATAAAGTCGGTAATTCTAACAGACTGATGTAATCGAAATTTGAGTTGTATTATTATTATACAGTTTGATGAACATCCATTAAAGCAATACACAGTCAATTTTCGAAGCCTCTCAAATCTGCTGGGGTTTTAAAGCTCTTTTATTATACAGCTCAATCATTTTAACATTTTTCTTTCACTACCTGCAAAGAAACTATTGCATTTTATAGTCAGTTATTACGAGACTGAAAGGAACACTTTGTGCACACCACTGCTCATATTTGCTGAGATGCTCGGCTCATGTTTGACACTCTTCTTCTTTTTCTTTTTATAGATATTAGTGTGCTATTGCTTTTAACACCTAATCACACAACTCTTCTAAATCCCAGAGAAAAATGTTACATTTGAGCTTTTAATGTTTCTTTTTGCTTAATGATATAGAACAGCTGAAGATTAAATATATATATATATATGTATGCTGCACGCATGTTCTGAGACATGTAGATCACCTTTGGTCCTTGATTTGCCCTGAGTGAAAGGTTTGATTTGTAATAATGTGATGTATTTCAATCTTTAAATGTAATTTTATAATCTTCTAATGCCCAAATCCTAAAGTTGGTGTAAGTGTCAAATTTAGATGTAGAGTTGTATGGCTGTAAAGGCTGTTTCGTAAAGAGGCATGTCATCAATAACACATAATAACACACTGAAAGAAGCACAGAGTTGCTGAGAATATTCAAAATAAAATAGAACTGAGACAATGCGACATCAAGAGTACAAAGTTAGATCATTCGTTTTAGACCATTGTGTTGAATTGGTCATTTACTGTATATGATTGTTTGCTGTTCTTTTTTTCTTTTCTCATTGATCAGTTCTGATTATGTATCCACATGCAGTCATTAAAAAATGTTTCCCTTACAGAACAAGGCTTTGGGATGCATTCTAAAATATTTGGCATCTCCAAATGAAGTACAAAATATGCATACAACAAGTAACTTCCAGATATGGCACTATGGCGTATCTTTCTCTGGTCTTGAATTTGTTTTCATTTCTCTCTTTTCAGTTAGAGAAGCACTGTCTGAAGTAACAGTGTTGGCATGTTCTTAAGGTTTTCTCTTTTTATACGGTTCATTTTTACTGCTTTTGAAAAGTTGGGGGAAACTAGATGTGCAAAGTTGTGCATGTTTTTTGTCATATGAAGCTTATTTTTTGAGTCATTATGGGAAATCGTTTGACTGAATGATTTTGTTTGTATCAACCAATAAGGTGTCTGGAATACCAATGTTGTCCACTGTATGTATCAGACCCGCATACATACTGTCCTCCGGTGGTCACTGTGCTCTTCCTGTCGAACTCTTCCTAGCTCCGCCCATGTCCACCTGCAGGAGTCCCCATTCCTCATCCTCGCTGTCCCCTGCTCGGTCCCGTCCCTCCTCCACACACTCATCATCCTCGTCTTCTTCATCCTCCAGAGCAGATTCCTCATCCCTCTCACGTTTGATGGCCTGGATGGTGGGAGGCGGCAGGGGGGCAGAAGCACCAGTGTCTTTAGAGTCAGAGTTCTCCTCAAAGACCTCAGGGTTCTCCAGCATCTCTCTGATCAGAGGAGGCATGGGGCCTGGGATCTCCATCTTTAGAGTGATGGCTCGCTCTGCTCCTAAACAAACACACAAAGATGATCGTCTTCATGTTTTGTGTTTTTTAGGTCCACATTTTACATTTTTGTGACCCTAGACCAGAAAAGCAGTCATAAGGGTCAATTTCTCGAAATTTAGAATTATTTATCATCTGAAAGCTGAATAAATAAGCTCTCTATTGATGTATGGTTTGTTAGGATTTGGCTGAGATACAACTATTTGAAAATCTGGAATCTGGGTGTGCAAAAAAAATCTAAATATTGAGAAAATCACCTTTAAAGTTGTCCAAATTAAGTTCCTAGAAATGCATATTACTAATCAAAAATGTAGTTTTGATATATTTACAGTAGGACGTTTACAAAATATCTTCATGGAACATGATCTTTACATGATACCCTATTGATTTTTGGCATAAAAGAAAAATCGATAATTTTGACCCATACAATGTTTTTTAGGCTATTGCTACAAATATACCCCAGCGAGTAAAGACTGCTTTTGTGCTCCAGGGACACATTTATCATCAGTGTGTAGCAGAGGTACTCTCAGGTCTTAAGATCTGTACCCTACCCAAACTTCTTGGACTTCTTGGACCCGACATGCATAAATTAATAAACGAAATAATGGAAAGTTGGCAGATTTTAAAATAACTTGGGTCTTTTTGGGTCCATTCGGCAAAAGCACATGCATTTAAAATAACCCGAGATCCAAGGCTACTAATGTCAGTCCTAACTCGTGTCTGAGGCATTCATCAAAGTTTTGCACCCAAACCTGCTTGAGTCTCTGGTCGGACCTCAGATTTTCAGATTTAAGTGGATTCGTGAAGACTTTTAGTGTGTAGTAGAGTTTGCATCGAGTAGAAGTCAGCAGCTATCAACTAGGCGAGTGAGCTTTAAACATCGTAATGTAAAGTTCCAAGACTGATAGATAGATAGATAGACTTAAATTCTCTTTATGGCTTATGAAGTGTTACAGAAAAGTACAGAAAAAATTTGTAGTTTCTCATTTAATATAAGGCTATCAATTGATTGATCACAGTAGCCTTATATTAAATGAGAAACTACACATTATATTTGATGGTTCAGTGCATGTGTAATGTGATTACATTGGTGTGGATTATTTGCATGATCCTGGCCCACACAGTCCTGCTCATGTTTATTTAGCTGCTCTGACATGCACTGTCATCTCAAGGCTGATCAGAAGAAATGGACAGCCCCTGAGTTAAATATATGAGTGTCACAGCAAAGGGTCTGAATACTTAGGACCATGTGATATTTCAGTTTTTCTTTTTTAATAAATCTGCAAAAATGTCAACAATTCTGTGTTTTTCTGTCAATATGGGGTGCTGTGTGTACATTAATGAGGAAAAAAAATAACTTAAATGATTTTAGCAAATGGCTGCAATTTAACAAAGAGTGAAAAATTTAAGGGGGTCTGAATACTTTCCGTACCCACTGTATATACTAAATTAAATGGTGACTAATCAAATATTTTTAGTTTGATCTTAGGCATTAAGTAACATTTAGGCTTTGTCCAAATAAAATATGTGGTATGGTATGGTCTTATTATAAAAAAATAATACATATTTATTCGTTTGTTTATGCCTGTCTGTCTGTCTTTGGGGAACATATTTTGTTTGATCAATTTTAAATCAAATTGTAAGGTTTTTAAGGTTTGGACCAAACCATAATTATAATTTGAGAAATACTAATTAGTGTGGATGAACTAGTTGGTCAAAAGTATATAAACTGTATAGGCTTGCGTACCTTGCAGCCCTCACAAGAGCTGACTCCGTAATGGTAGCCCGAAGATTTGTCCTGGCACACAAAGCAGGGTTTATAGGTACGAGGAGGAGGGGGTGGAGAAGGGGAACTGGGAACCATCTCCTCTGAGCTTGTGCTCTGGGTCTCCACCGCTGCAGAAATCAAGAAGAAAAAGAGCAGATAATTAGTGGTGATTACAAAGGTAAGAATCTGGTTGTTTTTTCGAACGCTCTATCCACACAGGCAAAGTTCTGCACTGGAAAACATCACCACTCTTCAAAAATATAAAAATCTATTCATACTGTCAATATGTTAAAAATCTATTTTCACAACAAAGCCACTTTCACTCCCTTTTCCCGGAGTAATTGTTTAGAGTAAGCCTGGGCAAAGTTGTGAGATTATTTAACAGCACTGCACCATCAAAAAACATGACTGAATCGGAATGTGTTTCCATTTTAAATAATATTAGCACATTTAGAATGAAAGAGACAAAAACTGGATGGTTGATGACTGAAGTTGTCAAATGCATTAAGAGGCATCTGCCCAGGGGTCTGAGCTCGAAGATAAATATTAAGTGAGCGCACTGAGAGGCAGAGGTGTTGAAAGAGAAGAGAGATGGGAAAACTGAGCTCCGGAGCAGATGGATGAATTGATAATATACTTTGACTGACACCTCAGCATGTGTTCGACTTGCTGTCACTCACCCAAATGGTAGTCACAGTCAGATTCATAAACATCCCGGACACCAGCCATAGAGACGCAGACATATAATCTAACACGGTTTGCCCAATTTAAACACCACCGTGTGAATCCAGTGTAATATATTTTGCGTAAGTCCACATTGTCACTTGGTTCAACCTTCACCTCGAGACACCCTTTCCCCCCTCATGCTCTTGTTTCCTGGACCCTAAATTCCTTAGGCCTGGATGACTGGCTTTTTACTAGAGGTCCAGTCTCAAGATTGCCCGTAAAGCCCGTCTGTGGTCTGACCGAGGCCCGAGGCCTGCCTGACCGGCACTTTATTGGCAGTGAGTCACCTTGGCCAGCCATTCACACCAGCAGCAGCTGTCCCCTCACCCTCCACTTGTAAAAAATGAGAGAAAAACAGCTAAAACTGGGTCTTCAGAACTCCAGATTTTACGGCCCACAGAGGCCTTCGCCCCCTCCTCCTACTGAATGGAGCGGATCCCCCAAATGTGCCTCTCATTCTTTCTTTCTTCTCCTCCCTCTGTCCTCCACTCTCCCTCTACAGGCACAGTTTAACAAGAGCAAAATGAGAGAAGGTATAGATGAGAAATCTCATAAAGAAACAGGGGGAGCTGGGGTTGGGGGAGGCTGGGAGAGACAAATGTGTGAGAGAGGGAGAATTTCACTTTGACCTTGGCTTTGACAGCAGCTTTGGCTTCTCGAGACATGAACGTGAACCGAGAGTCACATAAATACTGCCAATGATCTAATCGCAACCTCAGCGAGATAAAATAGGCAATACTGATGATGTGACATTTGGCAAACTATGAAAGGACATTTTGTTTCCAAACACCACAGAAATCTGTGGTAGAGACGTTCCAAAGTCACAACCCAATTTTTTTTTTGCCAACAGCAGATATTCGAACTTCAAAATATATGTAACTTAGTCCGGGTAGATGTTGTATATAATTTGACTGGAATGAAAGCAAAGCTGTGAGTATAGTATATTCAACCCAATTCATGAGACAAAAGCAAAACATATTTCTGTGTCAATTGTTTATAAATCTAGTTTTGCTAAATTATGCATTCAGTTAATATATCTTCATAAATATACAAACACTGGTTAAAAACTAACTAAATAAAAAAAAACTAAATAAATCTTAAAGCAGCAAATCAGCATATTAGAATGATTTCTCAAGGATCATGTGACAATTAAGACTGGCGTAATGATGCTGAAAATACAGATTTTCATCACAGGAATAAATTACATTTTAAAATATATTCAAATAGAAATTTCAAAATTTAAATAATGTTTAACAATATTACTGTTTTTACTGTGTTTTTGATTAATGAATAAATGTAGCCCTGTCCCCCCAAAAAATATATATATATATATATATATATATATATATATATATATATATATATATATATACACATATATATATAATAGTTCCTTGTTCACAAACAGACAGAATAAAACAGAACACAGGGTCAAAAGACACATTTTTGTTGAGCTCATTTTAACTTTACACAGCATAAACTTAAAAAAAAAAACAATAATCAGGGCACACAGGGCTGAAAAAGACATCTGTCTGGCGCATATGTATATAGATTCACAAAAAAAAAAGAAAAAAAAAAGCATAGTCCCTGTAACATTATGTAGGTTAGGGTCAAGCACTGGTATTGTCTTTTTCTTTGGATTTTGTGCAGTTCTGTCGTGCATATCAACACGTCTAGGTCTCTGGAATGCTGATAGGCATAGTTCTTACACGTAATGCTCTGTGAAACACAAGGCCGAGGGTGATGGGCGAGTGAGTGGGTGAGAACGCAACCTGATCACTGTGTTTATGTAGTAGCTTAGACTGAATTGGCTTTATGTGTTTATGTGGCAGCAATGCACGAGTGACACAGAGCGGTTCTGAAAACATCCAGCTCCCTCAGTGCTAGAGGAGTGGAAACCTGGCGCCACCAGAGAAATGACTGACAGACATAAAGGGGAAGAAAGGTGCAATGCTATTCTGTTCCCTTTTTCTTTCTTTGTTATATTTAACATGCTAGTTTTGACTTGTGGAGGATATGGTCAAATTTTAAATAAAGCAGGTGGAGCATTCAGAAGAAACAGTTGAATGAAATAAATTATTTTCTATATTGTCAAGTGACAGCATTAACAGATTTCAGACCAAACAAAAAATGCATAATTCCACTCTAACTTCTGCTCAGTCATTGTTTTATGAATGGGATTTAATTATATTTGTCACATTCAGACTTCCATTAAAGCACTGATTTACACAGAAAGAAAATGATTTAATTGCATGTTCTCAGTCCATATTTCTGCAGATTACGTATGTTTGCACCGTTTAGACAATGAACACAGTGAAAGGTGATGCAGGTTTTATCAGTAAAGGAGCTGAGGACTTGACCAGCCAGGTTCTCTCTGCTGGCTCAGATTGTGCTGGGACTCGCTGACGGAAACACTGATTTAATCCCCGTCTTTCAGCAACCTCAGCTAAACCAACAGGTGACCACAGTCTCTCTGACATCATCAGAAAGAAGCAAGTTCTCACTTTATAGCGAAGCATCTTGCAAAGCAACATGTTGCCTGCTCAAGACTAGCATGTGCCTGATGGTATATTGTAATTTAATGAATTAGACATAGATTCAGACATGACTATGTTTTAGTATATTTGTAGAAGTTTTCAACCACTGATCTGTAACATTTTACATAAGCAGAAAGGTTTACATTTTCAATACATAAAATGTAAAAAACTGTACATGGTTTACCTTGTTACTGCATGTAATCAGTACAATAGTATGTACATGCAGAATAGACCTGTAAAATAAAGTGAAACCCATGTCATAATGAATGTACTTGTCACTCGGGGAGGGAGGAAGGAACAAAGGAGCGAGGAGACGAGGAGTAATACAAATCAAAAGGGTTTAATGAGGGTAACGCTCAGAACACAGGGAACACTGGAGACATTAAGCAGACAGAATGACATTTAACAGCAGATGGGAAACACAGGGTTTAAATGCACAGATACCAATGGGACACACCTGTAAGCAAATGAACTAATTAAATGCAGCTGGAAACGCATTCACACAACGAGGACAGGAACAGGAAAGACCAAATCAGGAAAGCAGGAATATACACGTGAGAGATCGCCCCCTCCCGGACGGCACATCCCGCGCCGTAACAGTACCATCGGCGAGGGGGGGCGGGCGGAGACAAGGAGAGCCTCCAGGGCGGATCAGGAAGCCATGGTGGAGCAGGGGACTCAGGGAACCATGGCAGAGCAGACAGTTCAGGGAGCCATGGCTCTGGAGGAGCGGGCACTTGAGGGCGCTCTGCAGGGGATTCAGGGACTGGAGCACTCCTTGGGCTAAGCACGAGGACAGGAGCCCTCACTGGGCCAATCTCGGGGGCAGGAGTCCTCACTGGGCCAAACTCGGGATCAGGAGCCCTCACTGGGGCAAACTCGGGAACAGGAGCCCACCGTGGGCTATACTCGGGAACCGGAGCCCTCTTTTGGGCTATACTCAGGAACCGGAGCCCTCCGTGGGCTTAACCAGGGATCCGGAGCCCTCCCTGGGCTTAACCGGGGTTCCGGAGCCCTCCCTGGGCTTAACCGGGGATCAGGAGCCCTCCCGGGGCTTAACTGGGGATCAGGAGCCCTCCCGGGGCTTAACTGGGGATCTAGGAAGCGCTTACGAGGTGCTGGCACTGGAGGGAGCTCTGGAGGAGCAGGCAAAGCAAGGTGCTTTCGAGGAGTGGGCATTGGAGCAAACTCAGGGGCTGGAGCCGACACTGGAGTGAGCTCTGCGGCTGGAGTCGACACAGGAACAAGCTCTGGGGCTGGAGTGAGCGCTGGGCGGGAGTGAGCCACGACCGACGGGCTTGACTTTGGAGTGGCCAGCGGGCTTGCCACAGAAACGGCCGGCGGGCTTGCCACAGGAACTTCGGAACTAGATTTCGGAACGGCCGGCGGGCTGGAGAAAGCCACGGCCGGCAGGCTTGACTGAGGAACGACCGGTGGAGGGGTCGGAGGCTCTCCAGACACTGGATGACTGCCTTCTTCCAGTCGAGGTTGGTGGTGTCTGGGAGCTCCGCGGGGCGATGGTAAGTAATCCCGATCCGGAACAGCATCACGAGGGTTTCCCCCTCGAGGGAGCTGGTGAGGGCGAGCAGCACGAACGCCCTCACGTAGCTGACAGGGTCGGGGCTCACCTGAGCCACGGCGATGAACATCGCTCGTTCCTCCATAATCTCGGTGGAAAAACAAACTGAAAACAAAGACACTTTGAAAACCTGGAAAATAAACGCGGGGAGAAGACGCTCACTATTCTGTATGGGTCTGCTGTTCTGTCACGGTCACTTGGAGGAAGGAACGATGGAGCGAGGAGACGAGGAGTCATACAGATCAAAAGGGTTTAATGAGGGTAATGCTCAGAACACAGGGAACAC